TTCATTGGTATGGAATAATTATAAGAAATCATCAAAAAAACATGGTGACTTTATACTTTATAGAAATTTCATAGTGTACACTTTAATTGTTTTTTCCCCTCATATTTATTTGCTTACTCCACACTACTCACACTTCGTTCTAGAAATTATTTTCTGATTATTTGTCTACTTTATAATATTTGTACTTATTATACACAGTGTTAATAGAATGTGTGAAACACTTTCACAGGGTGGATTCTACATAACAAACTAAGACGAAAACCAAGAATGACGAAATTGCGTTCAAGGCATCGTTTCCGAGTCACTGATTGTTGAAAATACGAGCGAAATACGCGTGAAATACGTCTGAACCGACGGGTTATACTAACACGAAAGGCGCGTTCTTTAACTGTTTCACGAGTTGATTTCATTCGTCTCATTTTATTTAAAAATCTCAATATATTAGCTGGGAATCGGCTATTCAAGTAGTATCGTTCATCTATTTCGCCCGCATTTTCAACAATTGAAGAGTACTTGTACAAAAACAGTGTAATTGCTAACAATCATATTTTTCAGGGGGAAAAAAGTTATCTGACTAAATTATTTACAAAATTCGATTTCTTTTTATTGCTAAGTGTGCTAAGAATACAATAATCCAAATGCATCCCAAGATTTTCTGATGTTTTGCATCAATGTAATTCAAATTTATGAAAAAGAAAATTGTATTTGTAGAAAACTCTGTATGTACCTGTTAGGTGTAAAGAAAACTCAATGTACCGTACATTTAAATTTGCAAATACTCTAAGTGTCGATCCTGTTTGTTTCCAGATTACTTCTATAGAAAATCAAAAGTATGACGCTTGATTGGTACTGCCAGTGTTGTCTACAGAAGCGACGTTGAAGGTACCAATGTTGCCATTGTTTTAGCACTATTGCTAACTATTTACAAAGCTAAACTGTGTTTACATTGTATACTACAATATTCCCATTGAGACGTAGAACATTTTCCAATAAAAAAACGAAATGTCTCAATTTTGGCATTTACAGTATTTTTTATTAGGGCTGTTACGAATATTCGAATATTCGAGTAGCAATAGAATTCGAATTTGATATTCGAATAGTTCGAATATCCGAATACTTACAGCTCTATTTTCTACAAGGTTTCCTCACCTAATAACTCGGAAACGAACCCTCAAATGCAATTTCGTCATTCAATATCGACTCACTTTAACACATAGAATCCATCGTGTGTGAAAGTGACCCACATTTTTAGCAACAACCTGTCTCTCAAATCCTGAATCATATTAAACTTCACATGTAATTACACTTTCCATATCCATCTCACCTGATTTCCCCTTTAGGGGTGTCGAGGTGGTGGTGGCGGTGGTGGTATTATCCGGTGACAGAGCAACGAGTCGAATTGCATTTGCAAAATCCGCGCCGCGGTTGATGAAACACGGCACGGGGTGCGTGACGTTCCCGTGTAAACGTTCGCGGCTCCGTGGGACTCTGGTACACGTGCATGGTAAACAAGCCGCTACGGCGCAAACGAAATTCCCGCGAATTGTTTCTATAGTTCGACGAAAAGTGAATGCACCTTTCTTGCGATTCGTTTAATTTTAGAACGAACTAACGATAAGCGTAACCCGGCTCCCGAGGGGAAAAACAGCATTTGGTCAATGTGAACCGTGACGGTAACACACCAATCTCAAGGGAAATAAAGATGGGAAATTGAATTGAATTATACTTGTTAAATTGCGAGAAACACAACAAGATCTCGGTACTAGAAAGTCTGGTCAGAGGGCGTTTCTTTTAAGGCCTCTTTCCCCTTTAAGATTGACAAAATGGTGACACTTGGGAAATTTTTTTAAAAGAAAGCAAATCAGATGTGGTAAAAAAGCCTCCTGGCCTTTATATTAACAAAAATTGTTATTTCAATATTCCTGCATTATAAGTGTCGCTAATCGTGTTCATCCGAAATTGCACTGGTATATAAACGGTGCCCATTATAACGTAAAAAGTTTTTTTAATTGAATCAGCTATCTCATGCCCTACTAACGAAAATTTTGAATGGTAATATCTTTTGTTATTCACAATAATAGACGTATAATTTCCTCTGTTTTGCATGTCTTTGTTAAAATTTATACCGAATGCGGCCATTTTATTTTTTTCGACTTCATGATAGGTCGTACCATAGACATTGGAGTAACACAAAATAAATTTTCTTTAATTTTGATTTTTGACTTCCCTACATCGAGATATCGTGGACACCGTTTGTACAATACAATTTTGGATCAACACGATTAGCGCCACCCACAATTTGTCACGCTGCACAAATATTAAAACAAAATTTTTGTTTTATTTTTTTTTCAATGTATAATAAATAAAGGCTAGGAAGTTTTTTTAATCACATCTTCTTTGTATTCTTTAAAGAAAATTCCTAAATATCACCTTCTTTTCGGCGGATTTAGGGGGGAAAGGGACCTTAACTTATTAATTTTATGAAGTTTCTGGCTTCTTTCCGTATCCACATTCTGTACTTTACGTTCATTGCTTTTGTATGTTATAATCATCGTTAATTATGCAGTTACTATCTCAACTTTATGCGCTATTTATACAGGGTGTACAAAAAATGGTCCAAGTACTCAGCAAGTGGAGTAAGAAATGTCTATCGAAGTTTATTATTACATTTGTTACAGATATTCGATGTGTCTATCTTTCATTTCAATACATAAATTACATTTACGGATCAGAGATCGACGTACATTTTCAGATATTCCTTCCGTATCTCGTATTCTCTGTCGTACAATGACGAACTAAAGTAGTACTAATCCAATTTTTCTGTTTTCATTCAATATTTTTCGAAGTGACTCACTCACGACATCGAACACTGGTAAATATAAAAGATGATTTTACATCGGAAGGTATTTTATTTCAGAACCTATATCAATTAGACATTTTCCACGCCATTTGGTGAGTGGGTACTGCTTCTGACGTGTTAGACTCTTTCTTTTGAACACCCTGTATGCATTACCTTTATTCATTCTTATGCGAGGGTTATAAGCACGTTAATAGTTGTAAATAAAAAATTGCCATGAATATTTATAATTAGTTAAAATTTTTGAAGGATTAACTTGGAATAAGTAGAATTGTTACAATTATGTAGAATTTTACTTTCTGTGTTAGTTTCGGTAAAATGAAAATAATCTGAAACTATATTAAATTCGATTGAACTGTAACTATAAGCCCATAAACATCCGTGGTCTATTTGACAGAAAAGAGCTTTGCCAAATGATTCGTTTCTGTTTTAGCATAACAATAATATAAAGTGTTACTTACAAACTAGGTCACTAGCGCACTGATTGCGAGACCAATCTACACGATAATTCTATTACTTATTTAAAATTCCTTAAATATCTGTTCTGTCATTCTATAATACTATATTCAGCTACATTCAGGATTTTTGTCTAAGAAGATCAACAATTTTATACTATTTTTATCCAGGAAAAAATAAAAGAATTGCATTTTTCACAGTTAATTAGAATAGTGTACATTTTCACTTGTTATAGTATGTATTATAGTACACATATTTTTGATGATTTTATTTAATATTGTCATCATAGTCAAAGTTGATATTATTTCGAATTGTTGTATGTAAATTGCGGGTATTCATTATTAAATGAAAGAGTGCAGTATTTCATTGGTTTATCAAATAACATAACAAAAATATTTATAACCCCTAATTTTGTATCGTATGTATACAGTATATGTATATATATTTTCGATGATATCATGGAATGTCCTCACCACCGCAAAATAAAGTTGACTTCGTGTCTGACATTAAAGATTGATATATATATATATATTAGTTTCAGAATGAAAGTTCTGTCACCCATATATGGGTGGCACGACAGTCAACGCGCTAGAATGTAAAAGATAATTGTCTAATCGTACCCGTGACTTCTTAGATACATTAATCATCCTGATTTATCTGAACACTCAATGGTCACAACTGTAATACATTCTCGAGAATGTAATCCTGATCTATGATGTCTGTTATATGTGTCTGACCAGAGTATCCAGCATTCCAAATGAATTGAAACGTACTCTCTACATTGCATGAATGCGAAATAGTACATCATGTAAGGAGGTCAGAGATATATTGTTCAAATTAGAAAAATATAAATCAAACCATATGTATCCGGCGTTTAATTGTTTCGTGTACTCAGTAACAAGTCGATTTAATTTTCGTCTTATTGTATCGAACTGCAGGATCGTTCAACTTTACATAAAAGATATGTGGAATTGAAAGTGCAGAGATTCGTGTAGCGATTCATTTTAGTGCTGTCTCATATGACTCTCTAAATTTTAAGAAATTCTCCTGAGCCTTACATGATTCTGCACTACGAAAAAAATCGCTAAGATGCGATTTACCGAATCCTCTAATGACGTAATGTCCCCTCACTCACGGTTGAAGTTAACTAATCCCAATTGGCGAGATCAATATAAATCATTGATCGTAAATCGATCTCTAGGTGGATGAGTCGATCAATAGAAAAGCAAAGGGTAGCTGTATTGGGTAACCATAAATCTGATCAAGGAACAACAAGTGATACTCGTGTATTTGTCGTTCAGAAACGATACTGGCCAATTATCGATCTAATTGAATAACACCTATTCTTCTCTTGTACCTTCGAAGCTCAACGAATTCTAATTAACGAGTTCTGTCCAAGAACCTACAGATCTAGTCACAGGAATTTAGAAGGAGAAACATCAATCCGATAGACGAATAACTAATAACAAGTGGTATTCCCATATTCGTCATTCATAAACAATGCTGGACAATTTTCGATCTAATCGAATAAAACCTATCTCTTTTGTACCTTCAAAGCTAAACGAATCCTAATTAGCGACTTCTGTCCAAGGACCTATAGATCTAATTACAAGAATTTGACCGATCGTGAACCGATTCCACGATGGATGTAGTCGCGAAACGGAAACGTGCAGGTTGGTGTACTCACTGAGACACATTGCCGGGTCGTAGGGTGGCCGGTATCTGGTACTCGGGGTGCAGTACACCGGTCCTGTTGAACTCCTGCACCCTCGTGGGCTTCTCAGCGCCGAACGGCCGTGGACTGCCGATCGTTCTGTATCCCTGGTGTTGGGTGAACTGCTGTAACTGTTGTAGCTGTGACTGTTGCTGCGACAGCCCCTCGCAGAACGCGCAACCGGTGCCCCTGTCGGCGAACACTGACACGCATGCGAGAAGGAAACCGATTTGGCAGCAGTGACGGAGCATGACGGCCGATATCTGTCTGTCTTTCTCACGGCTGGTAGCGATCAGGTGGAAGTGGACAACGACTACGCTGACAACGACGACGACGATGATGACGCCCGGCGACGTCTGTCGTCCAGTGGCGAACGAGTTCGACTGTGTGCCCGTGAACGGTAGACGGTGTGTGCCAGTCAGCGGAGGAGCGAGGCTGCCGCTTGGGAAACCACGCTGAGACGAAACGAAATAACCCCTCTTCGCTTCCTACCGAGGCGACTTCGTGTTTGCCCCATCTTCTGGAAGGAACCCTGCCTCCTCCCTCCCACCACCACCTTCCTAGGCTCCCTCCCTCCAGCTCCCTGGCCGCCTTTCCCTTACTCTCAACCCTGCCTGGTCCCCCAACAAGCGATCAAACAAGCGTGTGCACTCGTTGTTACGTTTTGCCCGTGCATGTGCCGCCGCCGCCGCCAGCCGCCACCGCCGTCGTCGGCCGGACCACGTGTACGTAGGTGACCCTGATTCGAGGGAATTTTCGGAGAAGGTTCGCAGGGTTGGAGAAGTAGGGAGGGCTTCCACGGGCGATCGTGTGCCGTCCCGATTACACCCTCTGTCGTTCCCTCGGACACAGGGACGACGACGGTTTTGGCATTGCCGTTGGAATTGGGAACCGATGATTTCGTCACTCGGTGGACGATGACGAGGGTGATGCTCTGGAAATGAAATTGGTGTTCATAAGCAATGAAGACGTTTGAAAATTCAGCAAGACTTCGATTAGCCGTGGTCGCAATTAACCAGGGTCTGGTACTCACTGATAACAAACGATCATCTGTTACGATTCTCTTTCGTTTCTACGGAATCCCTCTTAAATTAGTACTTGTGAACTAATAAATAATAATGCATCATTACAATGTATGATCAAATTATTATGGACATTTCGAAGTACCACTCATCAATCAAACTTTTTACCGTTTATATTCATTATGTTGTGAAGAAATTCAGTTAGGTTGTCATATGTCAGTAAAAACATAACAACATGTTTTGCAATAAAAAAGGTACTATTATAAGGTTATTTTCAATTTCGTTCTTGATTAAAATTCAAATGTTTTTACTGACATATGACAACCTAACTGAATTTCTTCACAACATAATGAATATAAACGGTATAAAGTTTGATTTAGAAGTATATTAATTCGAGGCTGTATGACAACAGGCAATACGAGGTACGAAACGAATATTTCAAAGTGTATGTCGATTTATGATCCGTAGACGTAAGTTTTGTATGTGTAGAAACTATGTCGATTAGACATTTTTTACTCCTGTAGAGTAGTGTAGAAGTCTTACACCGTTTGTTTCTTTATCAGCCTCTGTATCGGTATTGTTGCTTATATTCTATTTGTATCAGAAATAACATTAATCCTCTCGATACTATGGATTACTATAGTCATCTGTGTACCAAAAAACGAACCTATATGGAAAACTACATACAGTTGCTCGCCGTGAAGTAACCATATTAAACTATTAACTTGTTATTAAACTGTTGAAGTGTCAGGTGTACCAATAAGTAATCCACTATTCCTTTTGTAAAAAAAGGGGTAATTTAATTTAAAGTTAAAACATTTTCCTGTTCGTTTTCTTCTTCCGAAAATAAAAATGAGTGTGTATTGAAACACGAGGACAAATATCACTAAAACGGCATTAACTATTGATTTCCAAGAAAATAAACATACAATTCAATAAAAGATAGTGGATTATTTATTAGTACATCTAATAGATTAAATATTAAATTTCAATACAATTACGTTTCTATCGAATGTTTGTTTTCTTATTTTAAGATTCTTACAATTTAACCCTTTGAACGCGAACTATCCGGAAAAAGGACGCTCGCTGTGCAACATGTTACGATGTTTTTTGTTAATACTTTAAAGAACAACCAATTGTTTGTATAAATTATATAAAATATAATAACTGCAGGTATCACAGAAGGAGCACGCGATGGATGCAAAGCATCGATAGATTTAATAATGATCATTTCCGAATCTCTTGTTAGAACGAATGAAGAACGCATGAAATCGCTGTTCGTAGTCAAAGGGTTAATACCTAAACGTACGTAGAAGTATGGCCAACTTTTATATCGCTCTGAACCACTCATGCATAACTGTAAAACCACCCTAATATTTGCAATTCTTATATACTGCGGTTAAAATGAAAACGGACCAGGTATGCCATGTCTGAAATCGTGTTGAGAAATAACATTTCTCCAGAAAAGGATAGACTATATTCCCTAGAAAAAGAGTGGTTTATTTTTATTTTAACCGGAATAGATAAGCATTGAAAATCTTAGTGTGGTTTTATAGTTACGCCACGCAGTGCAGCTTCTTTAGACAAAACGAGTATTTTCTATCGTTTGTCAGTGTTCAGCTAGAGATCGTTTTCCATCAAAAAATTTTCTAGGTTGACGGAATTTAGGTTTTTATATGTAATTATAGTTATTCCATGCGGAGAAAAGTATCCAACATTCGGTGACTGCGATGCAAGTTTTTGTATCAAAGGGTTAAGAGGAGGATCGAGAGCTGATGGTGATCGGGGTAGTAGGAGAGAGAAAGTTTCGTCTCTCCGCTGTACACCTTTCCTTCGGTGGATCCGTGATTACAGGGCCGAGCGTGTATTAAATTCACACGAGTAAAGTCGATCGTTGAGGTGCTTGACGGATTTTTTTTTTTTATATTTACCGATGAAGTGGAGAAACAGCTAATTCTTATACCAATAATCAGAATTTTCGACCATTTTCGGATAACTGTGTGTACACCAATCGTGTCTGGGCGGGTAAATCAAACATGCATCAACGATTTCTGGTTCCATACTTCACCTTCAACACCCTTTCGACCTTTTTTCAGTGTACCAAATACTGTTATAAGAGAGTCGAAGAAAAATGAACTCTTTCCTTCCCAATGTTGCCATGTGACTATGTATTCTAAATTACCAAATAAAATATTAGTATCATATATTTTTTCATATTTGGGGTATTCCACGCGATATCAGACATCTTTTGGAGTAACATTTCAGATTTTGTTGACACTTGGATATGTTGTAGTTTTTAGCGATATACATATAAACGTATTTCGAAGGATTTTCTACAGCTGTTTGAACTACAGTGTCAACCTTTCTTCAATAAATGATAACTATTGAAATAATAAACCGATCAAAGTGAGCTCTATGGGTGCTTATAGAGGAGACATAAGAGTACGTAATAAAAATTATTTCAGTTCAAAATAAATATGTTTTAACCATATATTTTGCAATTGTTTTAAAGAAATGCAATATTCTAATAGCGTGGCACTATTGAAAAAATTGAAAAAAAATTGAGGATATACCTAATCCTTTTTGTTCTCTTTATGGACAAGTTTTGAAAAATATGAAGGCTCCAAAATTGGCCATATGAAAATTAAATGTACACGTAGCGTTAACTTAGAAAAACCCATCAAAGTTGCGAGAACCGCAATTTGTGACTAATACGAAAACATATTTATAAGGTGTGAAAGTTGTCCATTAATGTAAATTAATAAATCAATAAATTCGAACGAAACATCTTTTATTCTGTGTAATTTACCCGTAAAATTTTGGTATACCTTTTTGATGGAGCGTATAAATACGTTTGAAGTTTTGATACATAAAACTTGCTGCATACATTTTTATTCTGTAAATTGAAACCACTGTAAGGTTGTTAAAATAATGGGCATCCAATTACGGTTTTGCGATATTTCAAAATAGGAACATGACAAATTAAACGGAAATTGTTAATAGGTACTCATTTACCCGGTTAATGACATACAGGTTAAGGAAAAAACATTCGCTATGTAGTAGCGTGATTTTTCCGATAGTAATGCAGTAAAGGGATGACAGTGACAGTCATATTAATCGTTTAGTGTCCCGTGAGAGTTTAGAAATTTAAGGCTATAATATAGATTCAACACATTATTAAGAGGTTGCGTTTTTCGGTTTCGTGGAAGCGAAATATTGAATTCGAGACAGAAATAGTAAATTCGTTATTGATACACTAAATAATATGAAATTATAAAATTCTTAAAGAAAAAAAATGGTAACATATGTAATATTTGAATTACGGAGTTACGACTGATCGGGCAATCAATATCAAGAGGATATTATTAACAACCGAAAAAAAATTATATAAACAAGAAAAATGAACAAGAAGTGATGTATATGGATCTTCAGTGTATACCAAAAAAGGCAATAAGCACGATATTGCACATGTATTTGACCCCGATACTTTCCATAAGTAGAATAGGTCAGTCGACTTTCTACGATTCGACAAGAGTATGATGACACGTGTTCGATATGTATAAGAATATTCGATTACCTATCATTCATATGAATATTCGATTACCTATCATTCATATGAATATTCGGTTACTATCACGTTATGGTAAACGTGCTTTGTAAACGAGAGAAAACATAATTATCAGATACAATCATTAGACGTTATACTCGATCATTCTTTTTCAATCTCAAGTACTTTCTCAGTTTATGCGCGAAGTATACAGACATTAAGTATGTTTATCAACATTGAAAAAGTTCATTAGGAGTAACGATGCATTCGTGACAGCAATAATCTAAGTCATTGTTATAAAAAAAAAAATGATTTAGAAAACTTGAGAAGGTAGAATAGAATCTGAATAAAATAACTAAATCTGTATTAATGATACATATTTTAAATTTCTCGAACACTTCAAAAAGCATCTTATACAGGGTGTGTTAAGATATTGGGACGGGTTATATGATAAAACTCACACCTCAAACTTAGTAAGAGACAAAGAAAAATTGAATGGTATAATTAAAGTGCAACGATGCACCTGAAAAATGCATATTTTTTTACTCGTATCAATTTCTTGGGATATTCTGCGTAAAATAGTATTAAGGTACAATGCTAGGGAAAACAAAATTTCGTGAGCTTTCACAGATTTTGTATAAGTCGTGTACTCACTTTATTAAAGATGTTCAAACGTTCCGTC